GGTTCTGTTTCTCCAATAGCCAGGATTCACGGGTCCAGGAACCAAGGGGTGGAAACAGGAGTGGTACCACTCACTATTACCCCTAGTGACCTACTCAAAAAATTTTTGCTTCCTGTCCCTGCTACCCTATGCTCTGCGGGTCTGGAGAACTTAGTCCCAAAGGGAGGAACGCTCCCACCTGGAGACACAATACTGACTGCATTAAACTGGAGATTACGAATGCCACCTGGCCATTTTGGCTTCCTCATTCTTGTGGATCAACAGACAAAGAAGGGCATTACTGTGCTATCTAGTGTGATAGATCCTGATTTCCCAGGGGAAGTTGGTTTGGCTTTATATAATGGAGGTAAAGAAGAATATGTCTGGAATACAGGAGATCCTTTAGTACGTCCCTTAGGACTACCATGACCTGTGATTAAAGTCAATGGAAAATTACAACAACCCAATTCTGATATGACTGCTCATGGCCCAGATCCTTCAGGAATGAAGGTTTGGGTCACCCCACCAGGCAAAGAACCACGACCAGCTGAGGTGCTTGCTGAGGGCAAGGGAAATACAGAATGGGTGGTGGAAGAAGGTAGTTCTGAATATCAGCTACGACCACGCGACCAGCTGCAGAAACGAGGACTGTGATTGTTGTGTTTCTTCACTGTATATGTGCATCAAATATTTTTGTTTCCTTCTGCTGTAAACTGTGAAATGTAAATAAGGATAATGGATTTTGGTTGTATGTGTGTTAACGTATCATGTTAGGCACAAATATGACTCTGTAATTGTCCTTATTTACAGATTATATATGGTTAAGAAGATGTGTACAACTGCCAAGTTGACAAGGGGTGGACTGTGATAGTTGGAGCTCTGTGTCAACTTGGCTGGACCCCAGTTCTGTGTGGCTGTTCCCATGATGGGATCAGATGACTGTGTTGTGAGTGGCCAATCTGCCCAAGGGGAGTTTCCCTAGGGGTGTGGCCTGCTTCCAAGATATCCAGGACATCCTGCGAAGAGGGACATTCTTTGACAGATTGGAACACTGGTGTGCGGACTACAAACTTCCATGAGTGAGCAGCCCACCGCTCGGCCTGGAGATCTTGGATTCGTCTTTTGTTGGAGTCAACAACCAGTGTACTGCCTGCCAGCCTTGAATTTCTCTGCCCCCTGCACTTGCAGAAGCTAAGCCTGCTGCCAGCCTGAAGTTTCCTCCAGGGACTTTGGACTTGCCGGCTTCTATACGTTTGTGAGCCATTTTCCTAAGATAAATTTCTCTCTCTCTCTCTCTCTCTCTCTCTCTCTCTGTCTCTCTCTCTATATATATGCTTGTTGGTTTTTGTGTTTCTCTAGAGAACCCAATCTAACACATTAGGTTTCCATATACCTTATTTGCACTGACCATATGCACCGACTCACATGCACAGGGATTTCAAGTAATGAAACTACTAAAGGATTATATACTTTAGTGAAAAGCTATCTAATTCCCTTAGGCATCTTATGTTCACAGTCCCACTCAATCACTGTGGAAGTTACAACATCATGCATGGCTCAGTGGGACATATTAAGTAATTCACTGCTTGGAGGGCTAATGATGTTGAACATTTTCAAGTGCTTATTTACCATCAACTGCAAATATGCCTGTTAAAGTTGAAGTTGAAGACAATTAAAAGATGTCCACGAGAGCCAAAATATGACCTTAATAATATCCCTCCTGAATTTAGAGACCATTTAAAGAACAGATTTGATGCACTGAACAGCAATGATCAAAAGCCAGCGGAATTGTGGGTGACATCAAGTAGATCATCCATGAAGAAAGCAAGTGGTCATTAAAAAGACAAAAATGGAAGACCAAAATGGATGACAGAAGAGTCTCTGAAACTAGCCCTTGAGTGGAGAGCAGCTAAAGCAAATGGAAGTAATGACAAGATAAAAGAGCTGAACAGAAGATTTCAAAGAGCAGTTCAAGCAGACAAAGCCAATTAGTACAATGAAATGTGCAGAGACCTGGAGTTAGAAAACCAAAAGGGAAGAACACACTTGGCATTTCTCAAGCTGAAAGAACTGAGCAAAACAATTAAGCCTCGAGTTGCAATACTGAAAGATTCTATGCAGCGAGTCTATTGCAAAATAACTGAATGATCCAGGAAACATCAAAAGAAGAAGGAAGGAATACACAGAGTCACTGTACCAAAAAGAATTGGTTGATGTGCACCTATTTCAGGAGATGGCATATGATAAGAATCAATGGTACTGAAGGAAGAAGTTGAAACTGCACTGAAGGAAATGGCAAAGAACAAGGCTCCAGGAATTGAAAGAATACCCATTGAGATGTTTCAACAAATGGATGCCTGTTGGAGACCAAGAAAAAGACCCCCAAAGAACATGATTGCAAAGCACATGTTATCATTACAGTTAAGAGCTGGCAAGCCCTCTTTTATGGTTGAATGTTTGCTTTAAGAGATGCAAAGCCTCTCTTGTGGTTGTAAGAGATGGCAAGGTCTCTCTCACTGTTAAATGCTTAACTGGCAAAACATCAAGTATTAAAAGTAGATGTTATTCCAGTAGTCCATGTTTTTATCTTATCAGGATGTTTCATACGGGTCACTGTGCCCTAGTAAACATTTATCGTTTAACACTCCTTATTCCTGAGGAGACTTCTGTGATTCTTTTAATGACCATCTGTTGTCCCTGAGCATGAACAGGAGTAGAACTTTAACTTTGTAGAGAATAAGCTGATTGTATGGATTCCAAGGGTGATGATGTAATCATGTATAAACATATAATAAAGTAGAAAAAAGGCATCAGAGGTCACTCTCGCAGAATATGCAGGGCATCCGCCTGGCCCATGTTCCTTAAATAAAAAAGAAAACCATCAATTCTTTCGTGTCACTTCATTTTGTGACCTGTGCAGTTTTGCCAGACACAGCATATGCCCTGCTGGAGGCGCTCACTTGGCTATGCCAACAGATTTGGAAGACAGCTATCTGGCTAACTGACTGGAAGAGATCTATACTTGTACCCATTCCAAACAAAGGTGATCCCATGAATATGGAAATTACCAAACAATATTATTAATGTCGTATGCAAGTAAAATCTTACTGAAGATAATTAAAAAACAGTTGCAGCAGTATATTGATAGAGCTTCCAGAAATGCAAGCTGGATTCAGAAGAGGATGTGCAACAAGGGCTATCATTGTTGATGTCAGATGGATCTTAGCTGAAAGCAAAGAATACCAGAAAGATGTTTACTTATGTTTTGACTGTGTGGATCATATCAAATTATGGATAACATCGAGAAGAACGGAAATTCCAGAACACTTGATTGTATTCATGAGGAACCTGTACACAGATGAGGAGGCTGTCATTTGAACCAAACAAGGGGATACTACATGGTACAAAATCAAGAAGAGAGTACATCAAGGTGTGTCTTTCCACCATACTTAATTTGTCAGAAGAAAGGTTGGGCAATCTACTTCCGTAGTGATACCAACACAGAAACCCAAGGAGGGGTCCCTATGAGTTGGGTCCAACTCAATGGCACATAACAACAACATTCAATTTGTATGCTAAGAAAATAATCCAAGAAGCTGGATTATATGAAGAACGTGGTATTAGGATTGGAAGAAGACTCATTCACAACCTGGGATACACAGATGATAAACAACTTTGCTTACTTACAGTGAGATGACTTGAAGCACTTACTGATGAAGATTAAAGACTACAGTCTGCAGTATGAATTATACCTCCACATAAAACCAAAAAAACCAAACTCATTGCTATCTAATCAGACCTGACTCATAGGGACTCCTCTTTGGGTTTCTGAGGCAGTATCACTATAGAAGTAGATTGCCCAACCTTCCTTCCAAGGAGTGGCTGGTGGGTCTGAACCACCAGCCTTCTGCTTCTCATTAGCAGTCAAATGCTTCAGTCAACTGGTCCAATAAACAGCTTCACGATAAATGGAGAAAGACTAATGTTGTCAAGGACTTTGTATTATTTGTTTCTACAATCAACACCAAAGGAAGCAGCAGTCAAGACATCAGATGACATATTGCACTGGGCAAATCTCCTGCAAAAGAACTCTTTCAAGTAATGAAGAGCAAAGATGTCTTGTGGAAGACTAAGGTGTATCTAACCCAAGCCATGGTAATTTTTTTTAAATGCATTTTATTGAAATATAATTTATGTACACTGAAATACACAAAACTAAAGTGACATGGGTCAAAGCATTTTTTTTTTTTTTGCAGTGCTCCTTTCCCTCCCCTCCCTCCATATGTAAACCTCCCCTCCCACCCCGGTAACCAACAAAGAAAGTTTCCCTCCATATGTAAACCTTTCCCTGACCCTCCACAACAACAAACTAATACTATATTTGTCCTTCTGTGATTGACTCATTTCACTCAGCATAATGTCCTCCAAGTTCATCCATATTATGCGGTGTTTTGCACACTCTACATTATTCTTTAGTGCTGCACAGCATTCCAGTATGTGTATGTACCATAGTTTAGTCATCCAGTCTTCCGGTGATGGGCACATAGGTTGTTTCCAGCACAACAGTGCTGTGATGAACATAAGTGTGCATGTATCTGTTCCTATCATGACTCTCACCTCTCGAGGATACATACCTACTAATGGGATTGCTGGGTCAAATGCTATCTCCAATTCCAACTTTCTAAGGAATCACCATATTGCTTTCCACAGTGGTTGTGTCACTTCACACAAGCAGTGTATGAGAGTCCCAATCTCTCCACATCCCCACCAGCATCTGTTATTTTCTGTCTCATTGAACCTTGCCATCAGTCCTCATTGTTTTCTTGATTTACATCTGTCTGATGGTCAATGATTGTGAGCATCTTTTCATGTATTAGCTGACCACCTGAATATACTCCTTGGTGAAGTGTCTATTCATGTCTTCTGCCCATTTTGTTAATTCCTTTGCTGCTGAGGCATCGGAGTTTTCCATCAATCTTAGAGATAAGGTCCTTGCCAGATATGTAATTATCAGTAAATATGAATTTGTTGCTGTCATTTTTGTCATATGCTTTTTCATTGTGTTGATTTCTTTGTTCCATGTAATTTTCTATGCTCAGCTCATTTTGTTTATGAATCATGTTATCACTTCCTTCATTGCTATTATTTTAGTATTTGCTGAATATTTATGCTGGTCCTCCTTTTTATTCTGATATGAAGGTTTATCACTTTTCTTTGAGGTTACCCTGTGATTTATAGTTTTCTTCCCAAGTGTAGAACAGTCCATTCTATCTTGTAGTTGGTCTTGACTTCCCTACCACCTAGAAGTTCTGTAACTACAAGGATTTTTTTTCCCCTCTTTTTGGTCTGTAGTTGTCCTCATTTGTTGGTTGGTGTCTCTGGTTCCCTGTTTGCAATATTGTAGGCTTATTTACTTTGGATACTTCCACAGCTGGGTTGGTTTCTGGGTTATATCATCATGTGTGGTAATGGTCAGTTGGCTGTTGTCCAAAGGGGTCTCTTTAGCATCTCTTGTAAAGTTGGTCTGGTTTTAACAAATACCCTTAATTTCTGCTTATCTGGAAATGTTCTAATTTCACCATCCTATTTGAGGGACTATTTTGCTGAGTACATAATTCTTCGTTGGAAATTTTTCTCTTTCAGTGTTTTATATATACCATCCCACTGTCTTCTTGCCTGCATGTTTTCTGTTGAGAAATCCAAGCTCAGTCTTATTGGTTGCCCCTTGTAGGTAACTTTTCGTTTTTCCCATGCTGCTCTCATGATTCTTTCTTTGTCTTTGGTTTTGGTGAGTTTGATGATGATATGTCTTGTTTCTCTTTGGGATCTATCCTGTTTGGAGTTCGTTGGACTTCCTGAATGGATATATTCTCCTCTTTCATCATATCAGGGAAGTTCTCCTCCCACAAATCTTGGACAATTTTCTCAGTGGTTTCATTTTTCTCTTCCTGTTCTGGAATTCCAATGACACATAGGTAATTCCTTTTGATGGTATCCCACATGAACCTTAGGCTTTCTTAATTTTGTTTTGATCTTTTTTCCTGATTGATCCCTTTCCAAAGAAATATTCAGGTATTTGTCTTCAATCTCATTAATTCTGTCTTCTATTCCATCAATTCTACTCCTTTGCCCTTCCAATGAGTTATCTATTTCTGACAATTTAGTATTAATCTTCTGGATTTCTATCTGTAGATTTAGAATAGTTTCTAATTTTTCATTTATTTTTATTTTGTTCTTGTATTTTCTTCCAAAATTCTTCTAGGGTTTTTTCTGTGTTTTCCGTGGTCTGTCCTCAATCCTTTGAATTCCTTATCAGGGAGTTCCAATGCTGCATCTTCCTCAAGGATGTATTTTGGGTCTGTATCCTGGTCCCTTGTTTCTCCTGCTTTGTCTTGCTTCTTTGTGTGGTCTGTGATGCTCCGTTGTCTCCGAGGCATTATGATGTTTCTTTGTTTATATTTAATTGGTGATTATATGTTGGAGTGACTTGCCCACAATTTTAGTTTTGTTTTGTTTGTATGTTAGCTATACAGGCAGGGCACTGTGCTGTGCTCCTCTATTCACTAGTTGACAGCGTTTATACATTCACCACCTGTCTCTTTTCCTTTGTCAGCCTCTCGTATGTCCTTGCCGACGCTGGCAAACAGAGCCTGTTCTTAGGTCCCTGGAATCCGAATGAGAATGTTATCACTTTTAAATCTGGAATGGCTGCCACTTGTAAACATTTAAAATGGCTGCATGCTCAGTCACTTTAAATATCCAAAATGGCCACTGCTTGTAAACATTCAAAATGGCTGCACCCTTGGTCACTTTAAATATCCAAATGGCTGCCGTGCGTAAATAATTAAAATGGCTGCGCCCTCCAGACAGCAGCAAGTCCACAGCTCAGTTTGTCTCCCTCCTTGCTGTTTCCCTTCCTAGTCACAGGCCACCAGAGCAGTTGTCCCTACAGCCCTTGGTGACTGGGGCTGATCTTTAGGTCAATTTCCAACACCAGCTGGAAATATTCAGGCTGTTGGTCTCCTCAGAGTAGCTGACAGTCCGCAGGTCCGACCGTCTCTGTACTCACTATTTTCGTTCAGGTTTTACCACTAGTTGGTGCCTAATCCACTTCTGCATAGTTCCTTTCAAAGCTCAGCATTCCAGAATTATCTTCTTTTTCTCTGTCAATTGGTTTTTCTTTTCTTTGTTGAAGAGGGTCTGTGTCGTTTGTCTGCCTACTCCTCCATCTTCAAGCCATAGTATTTTCAATAACCTCATATGGATCTGAGAGCGGGACAATAAGGAAGACTAAAGAAGAGTTGATGCTTTTGAGTTGTGGTGTTGGAGAAGAATGCTAAGAGTACCATGGACTACTAAAAGGACTAACAAATCTGTTCTGGAGGAAGTGCAGCTGGAATGTTCCTTGGAAGCAAGAATGGCCATCTCATCTCCTTTGGTCATGCTGTCAGAAGGAACTATTCCCTGGAGAAGGATATCATGCTTGGTAAAGTGGAGGTTCAACAAAGAAGGGGAAGGCCCTCAACAGGATGGATTGACAGTGTCTGCAATGATGGGCTCAGGTATAGCAAGGATTGTGAGGCTGGCACAGGACTGGGCAGTGTTTCATTCTGCTGTGCATAGGGTTGCTATGAGTCAGAGACAACTCGACAGCAGCTAACAACAACATTTATCATCTGTATATCCTCTTCAGTGAAGTGAAATGTTTCTTCATGTTTTCTGCCCCTTTTTCCTCATTGAACTATTTGGTTTTTTATTGTCAAGTTTTGACAACTTTTTTATATGCTGGATGAGTCCTGTGTGAGATAAGTGCTATGCAAATATCACCTAAGCATCTGTAGAAAAGGAGCTCTGGTGGCGTAGTGCCTAAGACATTTAACTGCTAACCAGAATGCTGGCAGTTCAACCCCACCAGACACTCCATGGAAGGAAGACCGGGCAATCTACTTCCATAAAAATGTACTACCTTGGAAACCCAAAGGCAGTTGCTTTGAGTCAGAATCGACAAGATGGCAGTGAGTTTGGTTTTGTTTGGTTTTAGTCTGTACAGATCTTTTCATCCACGTAACAAGGTCTTCTGTAGAGTAAAATTTTAAGTTTTGATGAAGTCCAATTTATCCCCCCCCCCCTCTTTTTAATGGATTGTTTTTCAGGTGTTGTGCCTAAGGAACCCTTCACTTAGCCTCAGGTCATGAATTGTTCATGTTTTCATCAAAAAGTTTCAGAGTTTTTATTTAAACTTATGATCCATCTTAATTCATATATACAGATATAGATAGATAGAGATATATAAGCTTAAATTGAGACTTTTTTTTCAGTCTATGTCGAATTGGTCTAGCACCATTTGTTAAAAAGATTATCCTTCTTCTATTGAATTGTTTTGTACCTTTGTCAAAAATCAACCATAAATTAACCCTAGTTCTGGGGATCTATTTCTGGGTTTTCTAACCTGTTCTGTTCCACCGATCTATGTGTTGCCTAAGCGTCTGTACAAAAGGAGCTCTGGTGGTGCAGTGCTTAAGGCATTTAACTGCTAATCAGAAGGCTGGCAGTTCAATCTCACAAGACACTCCAAGGAAGGAAGCCTGGGCAATCTACTTCCATAAAAATTTACTGACTTGGAAACCCAAAGTCGGTCACTATGAGTCAGAATCGACACCCACACTGTTTTGATTACTGTAGCCATACAATAAATCTTAAAATCAGGGGGAGTGATTCCTCTCATTTTATTCTTCTGGAAACAACCTAAGTGCCATCAACTGAGGAATACATAGACAAGCTGTGGTACATACACACAATAGAATATAGGCAACTCTAAAGACTAATGTAGAATCTGCAAAACACTGCACAACGTGGATGAACTTGGAGTGAGTGAAATAAGTCAATCACAGATGGACAAATGTTTTATTAGCCTACTACTGTAAAAAGGCAAGGAAAGGTTTATACGTGAAAGGAAGCTTTGTTTGTTGGTTACCAGGGATGAGAAAACCAAAACCAAACTCACTGCCATTGAGGCGATTCAACATATATCAACCCCTACTTGGGTTTTTCAGAGGGGAGGAAAAATTCCTAGATAGGTTGAAAAAAAAAATTTTATAT